TTTGTTTTTGGCTACATTAAAGCATTTTTTTGAAAATATACAGTAAGGTTCCATATTACCACCCGATTTTCTCTAAGCCTACTTTCGGACTTTTTGTACAAAAGCCTTCAAAAACCATACTTATAGTTACACTAGCGAAAAATCCAATTAGGAACATTTAGATTACTAGTTACCAGTACTTTTCGCACAAAAAATGTGGGTGTAGTTATGATACCTTGTTTACAATTCACTAAAATGTAATTGGAGTTCCATAATACCACCTTCTCCTCTACTAATTTATTATATATCAACCATTATAACATTACAAGAGATCTTCGAAACCTATTCTAAAAGAAATTAAAACATATTCTTCAGAAAACCCTTCATTTTCAAACCAAATTCACTAATCATCCATTTTCGAACATTCATTTTTTTTAATAACAAATTCTTTACTCACGGAGTTGCTCTCAGGCCGTATTCGTTCATTAAAACTTCAATGGCACCTTCTTTAATAACTGCGATATAACAATTTTCCGAGCCGAAATCAATTCCTATAGCGGACATATTCGAAGCATTCAAATCTGTTCTTCAATATTCCAAATTTAAATCTTCAAATTCATAAAAAAAAAGAACAAATCTAGAACTATAGTATTTCCCGGGATAAGAACGAAGTCGATATGCTGTATCTCGAAATGTGTATCACTCCTCCGCAGTATCTAACAATAAAAGTTGAATAAATAGAAAATAAACACTTCAAAAATTAATTTTCCTTCTCGTATTTAGACTATTGAACATTGGCTCCATTCTTATTTCGGAAAACACTATATAAAGAGAGTATGAAATTGTTTTCATTCATTTCATAATATATTTTGTTTTTGCGAACGGAAACGGAAAACCGGTTTACAAGAGATTAAAAAAATAATAGTATTATAAATTTAAGTGTTAAAAAAAAAAACAATTGCTGTAATAAGTTGCTGAAGATTTAAATAAATTCTCGGTTTTATTATTTTTACTGGATTCATTTGACTTATAAAATTAAACATTTGCAAAATGCACGTTTAATAAATACATATGCAAAAAACATATCAACGGAAACTCGAAAATAGCTTTAAAAGCTAAATATAATAGAACTCCAATTATCCAGACTTTGTTAAAAATAAATAGGCATGCATGTATATATATATAATAAGTAATTTTTTTCTAAATGTAGAAAATTAAATATATTCATATTGGGGTGTTTGGATATAAAATGATTAATAATAGAATTTAGAAAAGATACTTTATTATATAATCTTTCTTAAATCATAATATAAATTCCAAATAATAAAAACAATCTAATTTTAATTGAATATTTAAAGCCAAACTTTTGACTGATATTAGCATTTAATTAAATTAATAATAATAGTAAATAATTTGGCACTAGAGGCAGGCGTTATCTAGTCTTATTTGTATATTTAATATGAACAAAGCCTCGATTAATTAATTAGTTAAGATAAAAATAATTCGTTAAGCTTCATATAAATTTCAATCTGTTTTCCAGAGAATTCAAAGTTTAATATAAATTTAATAAAAATCACAAAATATGCATTCACTTTTGTTTTGATTTTGACTAAGATGATCTTTCTTTGCTAATCAGAAACTTCACCGGTATAACATTAATAAACAAGGTCCAAGTAGACAATACACAGAAATGTAAAACAGCAAGGACATCGAGGTAAAACGAACCAAATAATAGTGTCTAATTAAGGAGTAAAGCGACATATTATTAATTTGTATCGGCTTTCGTCAAATTCTATCGAACGGGAGGATTGATCAACTCTGGCACAATTTTAAACTTTGTCTCCAATTTCTCCTCAAACTCCTTTTTTTTTTGGTCGTCTTTGTGAGACGAGGGTCTGTAAAATAAAATCGACCATTTTATAAAGCTAAAACTGAATGAAAATAATATACAATCTCTGAGAGTTGCACTTACCCGAAAAGACGACTCTTCAAATGTCCAAAGACGTTACTTCAATCGTCCATACCCTGATCCGTTTTTGATTTCTGGAAACCGCCAAGACATCAAGAGCATTTCTTTTTCTTCGGCAGTTTATTTTTGTATGTGTACCTCCATGAACTGGTCCGAGTGGCGTCTAGTGCGGTCGAACTCGCGTCCTCTGTCCAAATTTTGGCCTCTATCTCCTCGTGGCTCATATAAGCCAATTTCGGTTTGATCCCAATGCAGCTTCGGCTTCACCCATTCGATATGTTGGAGATGTTGCAAGGCCAAGTCCATTAACATCTGAACTTTCCGGAATTTCATCTGTCCTTTTTTTGGGTTTATACAAGATTTATAATACAGTATTTTCAAACTCGTCATCCAAAATGTTTTCAGGAAGACAAAAGTTGTGAATTATGCACTTGAAAAAATACATTTACATTACGAAAATTTCTATAGTTATTCGTTTAATGCTGCACAAGAATGTGTCAGTGAAATCACTTAGATTTAAAAATTATTATAATATACGTAAATGCTAAAGTTAAGATTTTAAATGAAACTAAAAGCATTTAACACTTTTACATTAGGTATGTGAAATACAAGGTTCGAAAACTTAAAAGCAACTTATATCCATTCTCAAAAGTATGTGTGTGTTTAAAATTGACTCATCTATCCAAAAGATTGCTGATCAATAGGTAGAGCAGTTTTTGAAATTACTCATTAGCACATGATTGTGATTTTGAAATGTTTTAAATTAGGAATGACGAACCTTTTTAAACCCGTATGCCATATAATAAGAATACTGTACTTAGCTTTAAAGATGTTTATACGTGCCAACATTTTAGACTTTGATAATAATATTTAAAGAAATTAAACAAATATGCTTTAATTAGAATAAATGTAAAAAAAGGTAGGCTGAAATAAAGGACAATCAGTTGATAACCAAAAGGTTGATTGAAAAAGGCAGAGGATAAATTTAAATTATATATGTTATGTGCCATAGGTTTGTCACTCATTTTAGATATTCAATTATCTATTCCTTATAGTCCTTAATCATGAACCGATACAATTTTGTAAATTAAAGATATTATAAATCTCCGTAGAATAGGAACTTTAGACTTCATCTCACTAGTTGCTACCAGAAAAAATTAATCACTTAAAATTATTGCTCAGTCTTATCAATGAGATTTTCTTAAATTTCACTTATATAAAATATATTAACAAATAATATTTAGAATTCAATTTTTGATGTATAAATACTTTATTAATTATTCAAAACATTTTCTACAATCAAATAAATTATGAGAACACCAACAAGAAAATTTTCCCTCTTATTGACAAATCATAAAAATCAATTTGAAATGAACAAGATAATTTACTTAAATTAATTTTAATTTTTTTAGATTTTTACATGTTTCTATATATTTGAATTTTTTGAAAATATAACTGTGCGTAACAATATTTACACTTATAAAATATGTTTGCTAATTAGGAATAATATAATTTTAGATTTCTACAAGTTTTATACAGTATGATTTATTTCAGTTATATAAAAATAGGAAATAAATGTTATAATAAAATTGAATTCTTGAATTTATGAATATATGATTGCAAAATGGATAGATTTCAAAATAATATTAAACATAAAATTAAATATAATTATAAATATTTACAGATGTTAACACAGTAAATATGCAAACTAATCACAAATTTATCAATTAATATAAAATGTGAATAAATTCCATTAGAGTAAAACTTATTCTTTTCAGAAATATGATATTGTAGGCATGGAATAAAATTTTCCAACCCTGATATATGCATTAAAATCTTCAGTTGGCAAAGTTTTTTGGTTTCCATAGCACTAGAAACTTGATAGTTATAGTGCTTATATCCTTGTTTTTGGCTGTTTTAACATATTTACAAATTATAAAATACAAAACTTCTAGATTACACAATAATAATTTGAACATCCTGCTTTATCCTCAATTTTGCTTGTATCTTCATCCAATCTAAGACCTTCCGATCTATTAGTTTCCCACAGGCCTGGAGTTTGAAGAATCTAAAAGTAAAAAATTTTAAAAATTTTGAATATAAATATTTTAAAATAATTCAAATGTAAATATTTTAATTTGAATTGAATCTATATTTTTTTAATAAAATGATTCATAAGAAATATGTGTGTTAAAACTAAGGATCAAATTTATGTGCATTTAAAATTGCAATATATACACAAGTAAAAATGACAGGAACATTCATAATGCATATTTCATGCATTCTAATGTAAAAAGTGCAAGTAATACAATACACACTAAAATTTGTAGATTGAAATGCATTCTGTCTTCAAGCAAATCTTATTGAAATATATTATGCCATATTTTTTAGGTGGGAGAAGATAAATATGAAACAGTAAAACAACTAGAAATTTGAAAATTACATCACCACAAAAAATGCTTTAGAATGTTTCATGTAGGAGGTACAGAAATATATTCAATAATGCAATCATTATGGAATATATTTGTATAACTACAATTGTTTACAAAATGTTTGAGGACAACTGGTTAACATAATTATAGAACGAGGAAGAAACTAAGTCATTGGTCTAAAATAGTTATGTATTTTCATTTATAGCTCTGTACAAATGACGAGAAATGATTACACTCTTACTAAATTATTAACTAATTGTCAAAGTTGATGATAATATTTAACTGATGTCATGATCTCTACAGCTTGCCACACATTACATCAATTTGGATCAGATCTGAATTAACATACAGAGTTCCATTTGAATGATTATTAAAAAATTCCAATCTTTCTGATCCAATGTACTATACAAACTTACTAACATTAGTTTCAGTTCAACTAAACTTATCTGTGATCAATAGCTATTTTGGCCTGTGTTGAACTGATGTTAGGATTGTTTTTTAGCAAGTAATTTATAACATTACATACAATAAAGAATTTTTCAATCAATTTTATGTCTATGTAGGATCCAAACTCTTGTACATACTTTCTTAGCAATTCAGTATTAATTTTTGCTGTCTTACCTATACTTTAAACCAAACTCAATATAATTAATCTTTGTTATAATTTTTGTTATAATTATAATTTTGTTATAATCTTTGTTATAATTAATCTGCACATGTTCCATACACAAGAGTTAGAATTTCTTATGATTAAAGTAGTCACTTTTATTTCATTAAATATACTTGCACAATTTTTTGAAAGATTTAAATTTAACATTATTAAATTAATAAATATAATATTTACAATAATTTTAATCTACTTAATTTAAAGAATTTTGAGAATTCGAAAAATGAGAACTTTCCATGACAATTAAAACATTTTAATTTTGCACGCTCATCTGTAATTGGATGACGGAGTGCTATTTCTTATGTAAACTGTACATGCACAAAAACGATTCACTGCATAGATAGAAACAGATTATTTATTGATCATTTGAAAAAATAGCAACTGCATGCAAACAAGCTATAAAATTTGTGAAGGATTTATTGTCCTGAAAATAGTTAAATATAAAATGTGTGCTAAAAGTTATAATGTATATAAAATATGTATTAACAGAATCTTAATCTGATTCACTTGAACCCAAATCATATTCATACCAAGGTTTTATCAATATAGCATTTAAGGAAAATGCATGCATATAATTTGATCTTTAGTTATAACTAATGAAAAGAAGACTTCTGTAATTTCTGAAAATGAAAACAAAATTTTTAAAAACTAAATAAATGTTCAACAGTTGTACAGTACTTATTTTAATATAGACATTATTATAAAATGCTGTAATTTAAATTTTAAAAATTAAAAAAAATTTTTTTACACATGTCTGAAAGTAAGTAAAACTACAAAACTACATTTGCAATGCATAAATAACTAAATAATTCAGTCATAAATTTTATGCTATATAAGTTAACATAAAATTTCATAAAACTAATTTCAGTTTAAAAATAGTGTTAACTGAAGCATTACAAAACTTATTGATGTTTTCACTTTTAGATTCAATTTAGTCAAAACAATTTATAGTAATTCTTAAGTGCATTCCTTTTATCTGTAACATATCCACATCAATGAACAACAATTGGAACATTCATATTTTTATACAATGTTTTCAGTTATCTAACTACATTTCAGTAGTGTCTCAATAGTTCAAATTGATTGGGAATGAGACAACTTTACACTATCAATTACTCAAAGTATATAAAATATATATATATATATTATATACTTTGAGTAGTTTATATATATATATATATATA